CTAACCATCTCATCCTTTGCCGTCCCCGTCTTCTTTGACCTTCCATCTTTCCCAGCATCAGGTCTTCTCCAGTGAGTGCTCCCTTCTCATTTGGTGGCCAAAGTATTTGAGCTTCAGTTTCATTATCTGGCCTTCCAGGGAACAGTCAGGGTTGATTTCTTTTAGGACTGACTGATTTGATCTTCTTGCAGTCCAAGGGACTCTCAAGAGTCTTCTCCAGCACCATAGTTCAAAAGAATCTATTATTCGGCGCTCGGCCTTCCTTATAGTCCAACTCTCGCAGCCATACATGACTACTGGGAATACCATTGCTTTGACCATGCGGACTTTTGTTGGCAGGGTGATGTCTCTACTTTTTATCATGCTGTTTAGGTTCGCCATCGCTTTCCTCCCAAGGAGCAGGCGTCTTTTAATTTCATGGCTGCAGTCACAGTCTGCGGTGATCTGGGATCCCAGGAACGTGAAGTCTGTCACTACTTCCACAGCTTCCCCTTCTATTTGCCAAGGAGTGATGGGGCCGGATGCCATGATCTTAGTTTTTTTGATGTTGAGCTTCAAGCCCACTTTTGCGCTCTCCTCTTTTACTCTGAGCAAGAGGCTCTTTAGATCCTTTTCACTTTCAGCCATTAGAGTGGTATCATCTGCATATCTGAGGTTGTTGATCTTTTCCCCAGCAATCTTAATTCCCGCTTGTGATTCATCCAGGCCAGCATTTCGCATGATGTACTCTGCATATATATTAAATAAGCAAGGTGACAGTATACATCCTTGTCGTACTCCTTTTCCTATGCTGAACCAATCAGTTGTTCCGTATCCGGTTCTAACTGTCGCTTCTTGGCCCTTATACAGGTTTCTCAAGAGACATGTGAGGTGGTCTGGTACTCCCATCTCTTTAAGGACCTGCCATAGTTTGTTGTGATCCACACAGTCAAAGGCTTTAGCATAGTCAATGAAGCAGAAGTAGATATTTTTCTGGTACTCTCTTGCTTTCTCCATAATCCAGCGAATGTTGGCAATATGATCTCTCGTTCCTCTACCTCTTCGAAACCCAGCTTGTACTTCTGGTAGTTCTCTATCCACGTACTGTTGAAGCCTAGCTTGTAGGATCTTGAGCATGACCTTGCTAGCGTGTGATATGAGTGCAATTGTGCGATAGTTTGAACATTCCTTGGCATTGCCCTTCTTTGGGATTGGAATGTATACTGATCTTTTCCAATCCTGTGGCCACTGTTGCGTTTTCCAAATTTGCTGGCAAATGGAGTGCAGAACTTTAACAGCATCCTCTTCTAAGACTTTGAATAGCTCAGCTGGGATACCATCACCTCCACTAGCTTTGTTGTTAGTAATGCTTTCTAAGGCCCATTTAACTTCACATTCCAGGATGTCTGGCTCGAGGTCAGTGATTATACCGTCGTGGTTGTCAAGGACATCGAGGTCTTTCTTGTATAGTTCTTCTGTGTATTCTTGCCATCTTTTCCTAATCTCTTCTGCTTCTGTTAGGTCCCTACCGTTTTTGTCCTTTATCATGGCCAGCTTTGCATGGAACGCTCCCTTGATTTCTCCAATTTTCTTGAAGAGATCTCTAGTCCTTCCCATTCTATTGTTTTCTTCTATTACTTTGCACTGTTCATTCAGGAAGGCCTCCTTATCTCTCCTTGCTGTTCTCTGGAAATCTGCGTTCAGTTGGGTAAATCTTTCCTTTTCGCCTTTGCCTTTCGCTTTCCTTCTTTCCTCTGCTATTTGTAAAGCCTCATCAGAAAGCCATTTTGCTTTCTTGCATTTCTTTTTCTTTGGTATGGTGGTGATTGCTGCCTCCTGTACAATGTCACGAACCTCCGTCCATAGTTCTTCAGGCACTCTATCTATCAAATCCAGACCCTTGAATCTATTCTTCACCTCTACTGTATATTCATCAGGGATGCGATCTAGGTCAAACCTGAATGGCCTCGTGGTTTTCCCAATTTTCTTCAGTTTAAGTCTGAATTTTGCAATGAGTAGCTCATGATCTGAACCACAGTCAGCTCCAGGTCTTGTTTTTACTGACTGGATAGAGCTTCTCCATCTTTGACTGCAAATTATATAGTCAATCTGATTTCGGTGTTGCCCATCTGGTGATGTCCATGTGTAGAGTCGTCTCTTAGGTTGTTGGAAAAGGGTGTTCGCTATGACCAGTGTGTTCTCTTGACAAAACTCTGTTAACCTTTGCCCTGCTTCATTTTGCTTTCCAAGGCCAAACTTGTCTGTTATTCCGGTTACCTTTTGACTTCCTACTTTAGCATTCCAGTCCCCTATGATGATGAGGACATCATTTTTTGGTGTTAGTTCTAGGAGGTGTTGTAGGTCTTCATAGAACCGGTCCACTTCAGCCTCTTCTGCATCAGTGGTTGGGGCATAGACTTGGATTACTGTGATGTTGAATGGTTTGCCTTGGAATCGGACAGAAATCATTCTGTCATTTTTGAGATTGTATCCCAGTACTGCCTTTTGCACTCTCTTGTTGACTATAAAGGCCACACTATTTTTTCTACGAGATTCCTGGCCACAGTAGTAGATATAATGGTCTTCTGAGTTAAATTCGCCCATTCCTGTCCACTTTAGTTCACTGATTCCTAGGATATCGATGTTCAGTCTTGCCATCTCATTTTTGACCACGTCAAACTTCCCTTGATTCATAGATCTTACATTCCAGGTTCCTATGCAGTATTGTTCTTTGCAGCATCGGACTTTCCTTTCACCATCAGACACATCCACAACTGAGCGTCCTTTCGGCTTTGGCCCAGCCGCTTCACTCTTTCTGGGGTTACGTGTACTTGCCCTCTGCTCTTCCTCAGTAGCATATTGGACACCTTCTGACCTGAGGGGCTCACCTTCCGGCGTTATATCTTTTAGCCTTTCGATACTGTCCATGGGGTTTTCTTGGCAAAAATACTGGAGTGGGTTGCCATTTCCTTCTCCAGGTGGATCACGCTTGGTCTGAGTTCTCTGCTGTGGCCTGTCCGTCTTGGGTGGCCAGCTAGTACAACATGTCTCAGACATAATATATTATTAGTGCCTAAGTCGCCGTCTGGTTTTGTCCTCAACTGTTATTATGTTAAATTGTTTTTAATAATTACTTATGATATTGTTTTAAACTTCTTATTACTCACCCTGAGCCCTGTGGCGCAGGAGAGGGCGGGCTAGAAATCGAATTCAGTAAATAAATAAATAACAGTGGTGGTTTCCGTGTGTGTTTCTGAGTTGATCCTGTGGGGAGAGTTCTCCCCACAGGCTCACCTGCGGTTCCACTGGACAGCCCTGTTTAATTCATATAATGATTTTTAATTCAGATTATTCATATACTTATATTTTTCTGGCTTTATACATTTTGATATTAAGGTTTTATTAGGATTTAATAAGCGTCTACTATTAAGTTGTAGGGCCTTTCCTTTGTAAGTTAGAGTGTCTTTTCAGCTGATGTTAGCAGACAAGAAGTAAACATTCTTTTTTATCAAGTTGTTTGAATGGAATCGCTTTCTAGCTGTCTGGCAGTCCTAATAGGCCTTCAGTGTAGCACTGCTGGGAAGAAGAAGAAGAAGAAGAAGAAGAAGAAGGAAGAAGAAGGAAGAAGAAGGAAGAAGAAGGAAGAAGAAGGAAGAAGAAGGAAGAAGAAGGAAGAAGAAGGAAGAAGAAGGAAGAAGAAGGAAGGAGGAAGAAGAGGAAGAGGAGGAAGAGGAGGAGGAGGAGGAGGAGGAGGAGGAGATTGGATTTATACCCCGCCCTTCAGTTGGAGTCTCAGAGCAGCTTACAAACTCCTTTCCCTTCCCCTCCCCACAACAGACACCCGGGCTGAGAGAGCTTTGAGAGAACTGCTCTTTCAAGAACAGCTCTGACAGAACTATGGCTTGCCCAAGGTCATCCAGCCAGGTGCAAGTGAGGGAGTGGGGAATCAAACCCGGTTCTCCCAGATTAGAGTCCGTGCACTTAACCACTACACCAAACTGGCGTCTGAAAGGCTACAGAAGGCCAAATTGGAGGGAAACTTGGTAAAGTGGAGGGAGGACTTATTAACAGATGTATTTGCTTGACTTTTTATTCAAAGTATAGAGTTCACGGTTTTAGTTGTTTAGGGTAAAACTCTGTGGTGTCTGGGTCAACAAGGGCTTTAGTTTCATATCTGAAAACAACACCTTTTGTTTGGGTGTAGAGAATCCTTGGGTAGAAATGGAATAAGGTTAGGTTAAATAAACATTTGGGGCCACGGTGGCTCAGAGGTGAAGATGCTGAGCTGCAGACTGGAAGGCTGGTAGTTTGGCAGTTCGAGATCCTAGTGCCACGTGACGGAGTGAGCTCCTGTCTCTTGCCAACGTAGCAGTTCGAAAGCAAGAAATTGCAAGTAGATAAATAGGTACCACTTTGGTGGGAAGGTAACAGCGTTCTGTGTGCCTAGGCATTTAGTCATGCTGGCCAAATGACCACGGAAACGTCTTCAGACAGTGTTGGCTCTTCGGCTTGGAAACCGAGATGAGCACTGTCCCCTACAGCCGGATTTGACTAGCTTTCGAGCAAGGGAAACCTTTCCCTTTAAATAAACATTTAGGATATCATATAGTCACACCTTTTGCTGTAACTGAGCAATACATTTTTGCCAACTAAAATGATGCTCTGCCATTTGTAACCAATTAAGATTTCTGTATGTTATCTTCTGCCTATGTCATTTTGGGTACAAAACTTCATGTACTTCCTTACGTTGTTCCGAAAGCAGTTAATTTTTTGACAGGCTCTTTTGGCCTAAGTGTTTTCTGGTATTTCCTCGCAATAAAAATACCTAAGAACTTCCTCCTCACTGTGGCTTCAGTCGTGCATTCTTGGTTTGTTTCCTTTTGGCTTGGGGACACACGATGGAGTGTTCCCTGTTGTGGGGAGGGAAAGGGAAAGGAGTTTGTAAGCCACTCTGAGACACCTACGGGTAGTGAAGAGCGGGGTATAAATCCAATCTCTTCTCTTCTTCTTCTTCTTTGCAGTGGTGACCGGAGCAACATCTGGTATCGGAAAAGCCTACGCCCATGAGGTACGTCAATAAGCATGTGTGAAGTACTTGTCTAGGACTGATCGGGATGTCCCCTGGTCTCAAGTCATGGGGAAAAAGACTTCCGCTCTCATACATTTCTCTTCATTCTGGATCACCCACAAAGTTACATGACTGAGGGGAGAGCACTTCACTCCAACTTATTTCCATAGGGTGCAATGCAAATCCAGAACTTCCTAGTGACTGTGAGGCAGGTTCTGTAACCAGCGAAAGGATGAGCGTGTGAGAGATGTTTCACATCACGTTTCTGATTCCCACTGCGAATGTAACTTCTATTGAATTCAAGCTTAAAGAGGGATATCATAGAAATATTTTCTTTCAGTTAAAGAACTGAGGGAGGTGGCATATTTGGCAGCATTCTGTGACACTTATATTTATGGAAAGAACAATAAGCAAACTTCAAATTTCTTCTTTCCTTTTTTCCATGGTAAGACATAGGATATGGAACAACCATTAAGTAAGTATATATCAGTAATTGACATGTGACATTTTGGGCCAGTTGTGCTCAAGCAGACCAGAGTCTCAGTGTGTTCTGACACCAATCTAGAGGTTGGTTCATGAGGGAGAGGTTGGTTCATGAGGGAGAGCCAGTTGGGTGTGGTGGTTAAGAGTGTGGACTCTCATCTGGGAGAACCAGGTTTGATCACCGCTCCTCCACATGCAGCTGCTGGTGTGACCTTGGGTCAGTCACAAGTTCAGAGCCCCACCTACCTCACAGGGGTGCGTGTGTGGGGGGGGGGAAGGGAAAGGAGATTGTCATCCACTCTGAGACTCCTTTGGGTAGTGAAGGGCGGGGTATAAATCCAATCTCCTCCTCCTCCTCTTCTTCTAGACGTTTTGTTATGAGGTAGATGTTGTTTGGGTTGGGTGTGGGCCAGCCCACCACCACTGGGCAGAGGTGGCCATTCTCCCACCCAAACGCCAAGGGTGCCACCTACAGAGGAGGAGGGGTGGGGGATGGGGGGAGTTACTGAGAGGACTGGAATGGAGTGGCACAGGGGGAGGGTTGACCATCAGGAAGGCCATCTTGTCCACTCTGGCCAGGTCCAGGTGGGAGCGGTGGGGGCTGAGAATGTCTCCCAAATTGGTAGAAGAAAAAGAGGAGGAGGAGGAGATTGGATGTATACCCCTCCCTTCACTACCCGAAGGAGTCTCAGAACAGCGTACAATCTCCTCCTGTCCTTTCCCCTCCCCACAACAGACAACCTGTGAGGTAGGTGGGGCTAGGAGGGGACTGCCCTTGAGAGAACAGCTCTGACAGAACTACGGCTTGCCCAAGGTCATCCAGCAGGTGCGAGGGAAGAAGTGGGGAATCAAATCCGGTTCTCCCAGTTGAGAGTCCACGCTCTTAACCACCACACCAAACCAGTACACCAAACATCTGCTCACTCTGGACACTGGTGGGAAGGCAGGGGAGGAGATTCATGGCCGCACAAGAGAGATCAGCCCAGACGACCTCCCATTTCACTGCCGATAACCAGTAGCAGGGCTTCTGCCTGGTTTGCAGCTCCTCCTGCCCCCCCCCCGCCCAACTTCTTCTACCTGCTGTTCCCTGTGGACATGCTTCCCCTCCGGTGCCCAGTCCAGCTCTCTAATCAGAGGGGGATGACTTGCCTGAGAACTGCCCTTGAGAGAACAGCTCTGAGAGAACTTGTGACTGACCCAAGGTCACACCAGCAGCTGCATGTGGAGGAGTTGGGGAAACATACCTGGGTTCTTCCAGATTAGAGTCCGCACTCCGAACCACAACACCAAACTGGTGTTTGCACCAGAAAGGATTTTTCCCTTTCAGATCCTTCCTCTTCACTAACCTTCGGTTTCCAGAACCTTCTCACCACCATTGATTATGCAATACTCCATTCTGCCACCGGGGTATCGCCTTCCCCCCCCAGGTACCAAAGCAAATCCTTCCCTGAACCTCAAGTTGCCAACCTCCAGGTGGGCCCTGGAGTTTTCCTAGATTTTCCAGGAGCTGCAGAGGGGCAAATAATACGTTCTGGGTGAAACCCTTCCCCAGATCTTCCTCTCTATAGGCACCACCTCCCCCAAAACTCAAGGAAGTTCCGAGGCCGAACTTGGCAACCCTGCCTGAACCAGATTCCCAGCTGAACTCAAATGAGCCAAAACTCACTAAACCTCTGCTTTGGACTATCAGAAGAGGGAAGTTCAGAGAAATTTATGAGACTCAACTTCTAGCCGCCCCATGCCAGTGACTTTTGCCCAGGTCTACTGTGGTTGAAATGTCATTTCTCCACAGCATTTCCTCACATAATTATTACTCTGAGGAGCCAAAACATGTGGTAACAACCTCCTGTAAACAGGGGTGGATGAAGGCTCACTGGTGCCCTAAGCACTGACCAATCTTGGTGCCCCCTCCTTTCCACACTGACCCAGTCCATTTTAGTTGTTGACCTGCCTGACCAGATACACAATGCAGGTTGCAGCAATACAAACATTTATTCATAGGATAACACAATATACTGTACAAACTAAGCCAAGCTTGGGCTACATAAAGTTCTTTTCACCTTTTCCCCTACTTTGTGGTGCCCCCTTTGGCCCTGGTGCCCTAAGCACGTGCCTAGTCTACTTAGTGGTTAATCCGCCCCTGCCTGTAAACATCTCACCCTCTCAGCTTGGCTACACACTTTGGATTCCTGGCTGACCTTAACTTTCTTCTTCATCTGCCAGCTTGCTCGAAGAGGCCTTGATGTGGTTCTCATCAGCCGTTCGATGGAGAAACTGAAGCAGGTGGCGACTGAAATCGGTGAGTGAGGCCTGGCTTGCCCGGGTGGAGCCAGGCAGCTGGAGCTGCAAGCTCCCGAAATGAAGGGTTACGGAGAAGAGAAGTCCATTGGAGGAATAGTAGGAAGCATTCGTTATTGTAACCCAAGCACTAGCATTCACCAGAAGCCAAAGGCATCACCATTAATGGCGGAACTGTGAACCTGGACTTGAATGAATCAAATGCGAATCACTGAAGACGAAATGAGGCCCCCAGCTGGGAAGGTGTTCTGCATGCAGGACTGTGAGACCTCCTTACACTTTTCTAGCTGTCGTCGGTGCTCTCTTTGGAGCATGATATATAGGAAATAAATGGGGCCACGGTGATAAGGACAGAAAAGCAACACCGATCAAACCGTGAAGGAAACCATACGTGTGATAATAATCTCCTAGAAAATACGCAGAAGTCTCACATTGAAGTCCAAAATAAAGCAAATATATTCAAGGTCATTCTATATGCAATTCATTTCAAAAATATTACTATAAATAATCCATCTCACAAATAAAGTCCAAATCGAATGAAGGTCCTCTTTGTTATGAATATAAAGAGAATGTGTTGAATGCCATAACAGTCATCATTCACTGGTTTCAAAAGTCATTATTAAAGCATGAAGGCCATTCCACAAAATTCTTTCACGAAGGCCACACGTTTTTGTAAATCATCCAAGTTCATCAACAAAGGTCCGGATATCCTCTGTTTTGAAAGAAATCTTTCTCAAAATGTATTCTCAAATCAAGTTGTCCTAGTTAAACATCCATATTATAAATCCATCATTCTTATCAACGTTAACATTAAGCAGCAATTCTTTCTCCTGATTTACATCATATTGTTCTGTGGTGACCAAAATCTAACCAAAAGATGACACACTTTATTTACAGAGAAGCTGATTTAACATGACTGGGACACTCTTCAAAACAATGCCAGAGGAATATACTCTTCACTTCATCTTGAAATTAAATACTGTACTAAATTTAACCTGCTTCTATATCTTAACATGCTGACAATCCCAAAACCGAGGAGGTCATATATGATCACATGCTGTAACGTATCCTGGCAGATCTTCCAGGGACCGTCCCCCCTAGCCCGATTGTTACCCATGCCGTTTGTGGTGGTGGCAGCGGCGGCCCCTATGTAAAAGCCTGGTGAAAGAGCTCCGTCTTACTGGCCCTGCAGAACTGCAGAAGGTCCCGCAGGGCCCTGATCTCCTCCGGGAGCTCGTTCCACCAGGTAGGAGCCTTGCCTCCCTGGGGTCTGGAATCACCAGGCGATGTTGCGTCCTGGACCAAAGTGCTCTTGGGGGTATGTGTGGGGAAAGGAAAATAAAAAAATAAAATTAGCATAACTCATTAGCATAACTTATTTGCATACACCACACACCCTTTTCCAGTGTGGCTCAGGGCGGCGAACATAGAGGCAAATGCCATACACACAACAATAAAGCAATAAACAATCATTACCTATAAAACAGTTAAAAGTCGGTGCTCAACAGACCATATCAATTCCATAATAAAATGTCAATAACAATAACACACTCCAAGTAAACACAATTGTCTCTGCTCAATTGACGCTACACTATAACTGTCATCCGCATACCAGGGCCAGTGCGCCTCATGATGTTAATACGGTGGTGGTACAATGGCGGTGGCAGCCCCTACTCGAAAGCCTGGCGAAAGATGCTGTGCCTGGAGGAGGCAGACGAATTTGTTCAGCGAGCCAAAGTCTGTGTTTTAGTATCGTGATTTGTGAGTCTGGTTTGACAGGGGAAACAGATGAGGTTCCAGCTCTTCCCTCCTGCTTGAAATCCTCTCTGTCTTTATTTCTTAGAGCAGCAACATCGCCGAAGAACCAAAGTGTTCCAAACAGATTTCACACACGGCTCAGAAATCTATGAGCCAATTCGAGCCGCTTTGCAGGGTCTGGAGATTGGCATTCTGGGTAAGTTTGAACACTGGCTCTCTCTCTCTCTGTCTCATTGGTAGTAACCATCACGTGACCAAGAATCCTTGGCCCCTTCTGCATCTAGCATTTGCTCGGTTGTTTTACCAAATGCACACTGGAACAGAAAAAGATGTTACTCTAAACCACATTCAAATACCCCGGGATGACACCGTACTGACTGCAGAGTTGCCCCTGAACAGCCATGAAATGGCCATAAATCAATGCAGATGGTACCGTAGAACCGAGAGATCAAAGGAAGTGAAACCGGCATGCAGTGTGGAGGCTACCATAAAACCCAACAATCAAAGGAAGTGAAAGTGGATGTAATGTAGAGCAGAATTTCTGTTCCCATGCGGGTTTGGTAAATCAGCGGAGCGAATGCTAGATGCAGAATGGACCCTTCTCTGGTGCCCCGAAAGGTCCACTATGTAGAGCCCGAATTATGCCAATAAACAATTCTATACGAGACCTGCTCCTATATTAAGTGTTTCTGGTGATCTATTCATTCTCATATACGTCATATTACAGGTTACTCAATCACTTGTACCCCTGATCTATATAATGGAAAAGATACTAGGGCTGCGGCCACACACGCTAAATAATCCACTTTCAATCCACTTTCCAACTGGATTTTCCTAGTGTGTGAACGGTCAAAATCCAGTTGGGGTTCAATCAGACAGCTCTTTAGATCCATGCGAGGCACGAGTGCCTCATGGATTTAAATGTAATGTCCAGACATCAACATCTGGGAAACGTACGTCTTCCATGAGCATCCCGTTTTGCCGTGCTTCGGAACTGTACTAAAAGGGTACTACTTCAAATCTGGAGTTTTCGGTTCCCGATGGGCCATTCACAGACTTTCCCCGTCCGATCGTTCCAGCGTGCGTCAGACCATCCCGAACGGGCGCCATTTTTAACAATCTTGATTCTGCGCATGCACGGATAAACAAGGCCGCGATATCACACCTATGCGCATGTGCAAAAAGTTAAAAAAACCAAAACCACCGTGAGTGCCTCCTTCAGTGGACGCCGTCTAGACAATCCACAGCAGAAGCAGCGCACGATAAGGCGATTCCCCTGGGGGATGTCTGGTTGTGCGAGGATGGATTTAAAAGATCGGGATCAAATTTGAGCCGGCATAATGTCTTGATTAGCTGCCCGTCTGAATGCACCCTTGGAAAGTGCATTGAAAGTGGATTATTTAGTGTATGTGACCGCAGCCTAGGGCTGATTCTGCACTGCCTTTTCTCTCTGTTGTTTTATGAAAACCATGTTGGAACAGAAATTCCCCTCTTCATTGAATGCTGGTTTCACTTCCTCTGATTATCGGGTTTTATGGTAGTTTCCACACTCCATGCCTCTTTTGAGTTCTTTGACTGTCAAATTTTATTGTACCATCTTGCATAGATTTATGGTCATTTTATGGCTGTTCAGGGGTCACTTTGCAGTCATTACAGGCATTGCCCCAAGGTATTTGAATGTGGTTTTGGGCTGCACTTTGTCCTCCCCATTGAGAAAATGTGGAGCAAATGCCAGATGCGGAATCATCCTCGATCAGCGATTTCAAAGCAATGATAGTCCTTATATATCACATTTTGTCGAGATGTGGTTCCCTGTAGTAGAATTTATTTCTAGAAACAAATTGTTGCTTCATTGTTCATCCTCGATTGATGTATTGATACTGTGAGATCTTCTCTACTTATCTCTTCAGATATTTGAATTATTTAAGCCAACTGTCAGTTGTTTAGGGATTCTGGACCAATGTTCTTCTGTCCAACACCAGTTTGTGATCAGATGAGGACTCTGCTGTGGCTGTAGCTACCTGGTCTTAAGTATTCCCAATGTTTTCCTTTTGAGCCTTCAGTGTCAATGCAGTGATCTGAACTTCGGTTTGTCTTTTTGCAGTGAACAATGTTGGTCTGGCACTGGAAGCGCCCAGATATTTTCTGGATGCTGCTAAGGTTGTCAAGGTGAGTTTAGTCTCAGCCCCAACATTTGCTGGCCTTGTCCACCCCCCCCAAACATATCATCCTACTTATCTTTTCTTTAAAACCCCATACATATTTTACAACAAGAAGAAGAGATTGGATTTATACCCCGCCCTTACAAACTCCTTTCCCTTCCCCTCCCCACAACAGGCACCCTGGGAGGTAGGCGGGGCTGAGAGAGCTCTGACAGAAACGGCTCTTTTTCAAGAAAACCTCTTTTTTCCCATAAACTTTTTATTGTAGGGATATATCAACATCCAAATAATCAAAAACATTTCATTCAATTACAATACAATACATCCCATTTTCAAATTTATTCTCCTCCCCTCCCCCATACTTGACTTCCAACAGTGCGGTATCACCTCATATTTCTTTCTTAAATTTTCCTTACCCTATTTTTTCAATACATTGTCACTATCTATTAGGTAACCTTATGTAAAATCAGATTATTATATTTCCACTCTAATAACTATCTAAACTTATCAAAGTATTCTTTACATCCCATCTTTGTTCTAGATATTCTTTAAAGTCTTTCCATTCTTCATAAAATTCATCATCTTCTTTATTATTCAATTTTCTCGTTAATTTATCCATTTCAGCCATATATAGTACCTTTTTCAACCAATCCCAAACCTCAGGTATCCTGTCTTGTTTCCAGAATTGAGCATAAGTCATTCTCGCGGTTGTTATTAAGTACCATAACAACGTCTTTTTTGTAACATTAACTTCTTCCATTTTCAGTCCCAGAAGTAAAATTTCTGGTTCCTTCTTAAAAGATGATTTCAGGATTGTCTGCATTTCTGCGTGAACCTCTGTCCAATATTTAACTGCCTTCTCACAGGTCCACCACATATGATAAAAAGAACCTTCATGACTTTTACATTTCCAACACTTATTAGACAAAGCATTATTAATATTTGCAATTTTTGGGGGGTCATATACCATCTATACATCATTTTGAAACAATTTTCTTTTAAATTATTACAAGTTGAAATTTTCATTGATTTTTTCCACAAATATCACCAAAATGACATAGTAATTTCCTTATTAATATTTATCGCCCACTTAATCATTTGTCCTTTTACAACTTCATCTTCGGTAAACCATTTTAACAATATTTTATATATTCTTGAAATCATTTTTTCCCCTTTTTCCGCCCATACACATTCCAGTTCATTGTTTTTTCCCCTGAAACCATAACGTTTTTTTGTCAATAATAAACAAATCATAAATCTGTCTATAATTCCACCAGTCATAGCTATAATCCAATTCTTCTCTTGGTTTAATATCAACCTTTTCGCCCTCCCACTTTAACAAATCCCTATATGTTAACCAATCTTCTCCTTGCACCCTAGAATAGGGATTTATTACTTCCGCTGGTACAATCCAAAGTGGTCTAACATCATAAAAAAACCTTTTCTATCTTTTCCACGTTTCCATCAAAGTTTTTCTTATCACATGGTGTTTGAAAAAGTTATCCATTTTTTCCTTTTCATACCATAGGTAGGCGTGCCAGCCAAATCTACAGTCATGCCCTTCTAACGCCAACAATTTTTTGTTTTCCAAATTGATCCATTCCTGCAACCATGTCAGGCACACCGCTTCATGGTATAGCTTAAAGTTGGGCAGTTGGAAGCCTCCTCGTTCTTTAGCATCATACATTATCTTCATCTTAATTCTTGGCTTCCTCCCTGCCCATATAAATTTTGATACTTCTTTTTGCCATCCCTCAAACACCTTGGTTTCACGAATAATTGGAATAGTCTGAAATAAAAACATCATTCTTGGCAAAATATTCATTTTGACCACTGAAATACGTCCCAACAGGGACAAGTTCAAAATGTCCCACTTCTTAAGGTCCTGTTGTACCTTTTCCCACAGCTTTTCATAATTGTTCTTAAACAGATCTATATTTTTTGCTGTCAAGTCCACTCCTAAATATTTAACTTTATTTGTCGCCTCGCATTGTACCATTTCCTGTAAGTCCATTTGCCTTTGTTTAATCATATTTTTACATAACAATTTAGACTTTTTCTTATTCACGTAAAAACCAGCCAAGTCTCCAAAATCCTTAATTATATCCATTAGTTTCGGCAACGTGTTAAAGGGATCCTCCACAACAAACATCACATCATCCGCAAATGCTCGATATTTATAAGAAAAACCTTTCAAGTCAAGTCCCTTGATTTCCTTTTCCTCTCTTACCTTCTTCAATAAGAGTTCCAAAATCCATATGAACAAAAGCGGAGATAGTGGGCATCCCTGCCTCGTCCCTTTCTGCACGTTAAAGAAGTCTGTCATGTCTTTATTTACATTCAATGACGATTTTTGTTCACTATAAATTGCCTTGATTAAATTCAAAAACGGCTGGCCTATTTCCATTTTTTCTATTACTTGCAGTAAAAAGTCCCAATTTAAATTATCAAAAGCTTTTTCTGCATCAACAAAGAAAAATGTTACTTCTTTCTCTGGATGTTTGTCATAATACTCTATGGCATCAATCACCATTCTCAAATTGTCTCTGATTTGCCTGTTTGGCAAAAAGCCGGCTTGTTCTTCTGCAATAACTTCCTGCAAATACTTCTTTACTCTCTCGGCCAGGACCTTAGCATATAATTTATAATCATTATTAAGAAGAGAGATAGGTCTATAATTTTTAACATCGGTCAAATCTTGACCTTCTTTGGGTATTAGTGATATATTTGCCAATTTCCAAGTTTCCGGCAATTTTGCTGATTTTCTTATTTCATTCATCAACAACACAAATATCGGGGTCAGGTCCTCTTTTAATTTTTTGTAAAATTTCACTGTAAATCCGTCTGGTCCAGGAGCTTTCCCCAATTTTGCATCATCTATTGCCTTCAAAATTTCTTCTTTTTGAATCTCAGCATTTAACAGATCTTTATCTTTTTGCTGAATTTTCAATAAGTCCACTTCATTCAAATATTTTGCTAATCTTGCCGGGTCAATATTCTTCTTCTGAAATAATTTGGCATAGTACTTAAAAAAGCTCTTTTAATCCCGTGTATTTCCACCAAATCTCTACCTTCTTCAACAATTTTATTTATAATTCTTCTCTCTCTTCTATTTTTCAACTGCCAAGCCAAAAACTTTCCAGGTTTATTTGCTCCTTCAAAGGATTTCTGCTGAAGTTTCTTTAAATTCCAATACATTTCTCTATTTGCAATTACATTCATCTGTTCTTGTAGAATTTTTATCTCTCTTATTGTAGATTTCTTCCCTGGTCTCTTTTTCAACTCAGATTCCTTCTGTCGAATTTTATTATTGATATCCACCAATTGTTGGTTCTTCTCTTTTCTGTCTTTCGCATTTAATGATATAAGTAATCCTCTTATCACCGCTTCATATGCGTCCCATACTGTCTGTATTGGCGTATCTTTATCCATATTCAGTTGAAAAAATATTTCTGTTTCTTTACGTAATGTCTCAAGTATCTTCTTTTTATCCAACAAATCCTCATTGATTCTCCAATGTAACTGCTTATTTTTCTCCTTGGTAATCCACAGCACTGGATTATGATCAGAATTGTCTTTCGATAAAATTTCCACCTTTGAAGTTTTCGTAGCCAGTTCTCCAGACATCCAAATCATATCAATTCTCGAAAAAGATTCATGTTGATTTGAGTAAAATGTGTAGTCCTTAACTCCTGGGTTCCATTTTCTCCATACATCTTCTAACTTCTCTTGTTCCATCAGTTTAAAAAAGGTCATCGGTAATTTTCCAATTTTGTCGTCTCCTTTCTTAGATTGTCTATCTAGTTTATTATCTACAGTCCCGTTAAAATCACCTGCCACCACGACTTCATCGTAACTCAACTGGTCAAATTCTTTTGAAAGATCTTGAAAAAAATTTTCTTTTGCACCATTTGGTGCATAAACGTTAACAATCAATGTCTTTTTCTGATGCAACAAAATTTCAACTCCCACATACCTTCCTTCTTTGTCTTTAAAAACTTCTTTGGGGCTCAAACCTTTGTTAACATATGTTACAGTTCCTTTGACCTTTTTCTCTGCAGATGAATAAAATTCTTCGCCTAATTTCTTATTAATCAAATATTTATAGTCCGTTTTTTTGATGTGCGTTTCTTGTAAGCAAATAACATCACACTTTTGTTTCTCCAACCAATGTAATTAAACTCCTCTTATTGGGTGAATTTAGTCCATTTACATTCCAAGACAAAAATTTGTAATCCATATTGCTTTTTTCTTATATGTCTCCAAACTCTGTAATATTGTCCGCTTTGAACCTAAGCAGGTCGTTCATTGAAGTAATTGAGTACTTCAAAGCATGGTAGTCAAAAGACAGTCCGAACGGAATCTCCCATCTAAATCTGATTTTCATCTGTCTCAATTTGTCAGCTAATTTTTTATATTTCTTCCTTTCCAATAAGATCGATCTAGGGAGCTCTCTCAAAATAATTATCTTCTTTCCATCAATTTCCAAAGAGTCTGTAAATTGCTTTTTAAAAATATCTTCTTTGATTTTCAGGGAGACAAACTGAACAATTACATCTCTTGGCAACTTTTTCCTTTCTGCGTATGCTGATCGAACTCTGTAAATCAAATCAAACTGAGAATCCAGATCTCCAATATCGTCTTCCAGATATAGTGTCAATGCTTCAATCACTGTTTTTCTTATATCCTCATCTTCTTTTTGAACTATTCCTCTCAATCTCAACTGATTCTGTTTGACTCTATATTCCATTATGGATTCCACTCTCTTATTTTCTTGTTCCATTTTCTTCTCCAACTTTTTACTCTCTTCCTCCATATCTGTTGTCTTTGTCGCCAAGCCTTGAATCTCTTTTATAACCTCGACCATATCCTTTTTAACCTCCACCAATTCTGCTGCAACTAATTCTTTAATTGCAGTAATATTCTTCTCTTGTACTTCTTCCAACTGCTCCAAGTGAACTTTCATGCGCTTATCCATTTGCTCATCAAGTTGTGTTCCTAAAGCTTTTATTGCCTCTGTCATTCTCTTCTCCATCGCCTCCATAGCTGCTTGCCACTCCTTCTTATGTTTTCCACTTGCCATCGCTGGACTTGCCCCCGATGTTACTCTCGGCCTTAATTTCGGTTCCGTCTTGAAATCTTCAAAGTGGCCCCTCCAGGTCCACTTCTTACTTTGGCCGTCTTCTCTTAAGCCAATTAATCTAGCACCCGATTTTCTGCTTGTATAATTTCACCATTATCGGCTTAAAATTAAATTTAAATTTTAGTCCTCCACAAAATGTCAGGTGCAAGTTCTCTATGGTATTTTGGCATGAGTAGGTCAATTTCGCATTTCCGGCATTTCACTTCCGGCGATTCAGTTCCTGTTCGCTCGCTCTTATGGTTATTCGTGCAACTGCTTTAAGTTGTCGATCTCCTTCCGGTACCTCTCCGTCCTCCAAAATCCTCTCTAGTCACTTCTTGTCTGTCTTTTCACCCGGAGAGCATTCAGCGTTGCACACATTCGTTCCTTCAACACTTCCTTTCACTGCGCACTTTTCTTTCTAGCTGACCACAGGAATGTTAAACAAAGTCTCTTTTTAACGATTTCTAGTACAAAACAACATCTTTTCTCCTACCAAATGGATCGGTTAATTTTACAAAGTTCATCTACGCTTAACCGCTTACGTCACTTTACAGTTCATCAGCGTTATGGTAAGCTATGTATCTTGTTACCTTTCACGTTAATCTCAGCTCTCCGCACTGTTTCTTTTCAAAAAATCTTAAGTTCTTCGATGTTAAGAGACCGGGTGACGGCGAATTTATGCTGGAAACCAGCCCGATTAGCTCCTTGAGTGATGTTTTGCAAATGCCTTTCTTGGTGGGGGGGATCAAAGCGCGCCTGCTAGCCCCCTTCGGGGCTTGCGGTACGCCAATCTCAACCCCCGCTGAGACAAAATTGCATGCAAGTCGGTCCCCTTGCCTGGGAACTTCTGCATTGGGCAGATCAAAGCCCAAGCTGTCGAATGGAGCTATCGTCCACCTCGCACACTCGCAAGATGCGTTAATGCGCCATTTTAACCCGGCCGGAAGTCCTTTTTCAAGAAAACCTCTGACAGGACTATGGCTCGGCCAAAGTCATCCAGCGGCTCAGAGTGCAGGAATGGGGAATCAAACCCGTTTATCCCCAGATTAGAGTCCGTGCACTTAACCGCTACGCCAGACTGGCACCGAACAAGACTGAAGCAGGCTCCGAGAGGGGCTTATCTCGTGTTCCTTCACAGTAGCTGAAGTTGCCCGAGACACTCCAAAAGCAGCAGAGAGGTTTCCAGCCCTTTATGATGACAAGCTCCTTCTGTCTTAGTATGCGCTCACTCACAATCATCAACGCGACCAAGCTCATTACACTGTGCTTTCTTTTCCTCTCTACAGAGCATAGATAACATAGCACACTGCAACATGCTTTCGACTGTAAAGGTGAGTGAAACGGAGTCCTCTATTATCCCTGCCGGGTATCAGAACTGTCGACCTCTTGTCCAGAACGTCAGACCTGTGGGATGTGGGCGAGAATGTGCAACCAGCCATTCTCCCCCCAAGACCTTTGTGGGAGGAGGAGAGCCAAGATGTGGTTGCTTTGTGATCTCAGGATGAACTTCCAGGTCACTCGAGAAATAGTTAGGAGCATGGACTGTGTCACGAGAACTTGCTTCTCCCTGTGTTCAGCGTCTTTTGGATCTGGCAAAAAATGGATTTGGACTGACGCGTGTAGCATGAGTGGCAACACAAATACGGAGAAGGAAGGGTTTGGGCGTCTGTTCTCCTCTCACTTAGACAGTTTCATCTGCTCTTGTCTTCCTAGATGACGCAGATCGTCCTTCCTCAGATGGTGGCCAGGTAAAACCTCAGGATTATCCTGCAGCTCCGGTGCTGCGAACATAGAAAAGGTAAAGCTTCCCTTGCTCGAAAGCCAGTCGAATCCGACTCTAGGGTTGCAGTGCTCATCTCCGTTTCCAAGCCGAAGAGCCAGCGCTGTCATGTGGCCAGCAGGACCAGACGCCGAAGCTCATTGAACGCTGTTACCTTCCCACCAAAGTGGTACCTATTTATCTACCTGCAATTTCTTGCTTTCAGGGTGGCAGGAGCTGGGACGAGAGACGGAAGCTCACTCTGTCCTGTGGCACTCGGGTCTTGAACCGCTGAACTACTGACCTTCCAGCCTACAGTTCAGCATCTTAACCACTTGAGCCATCGCAGCTCTTGTGAACATACATACTTCTAAATTATTGGAGGGGGAAAGAGCGTGTGTTTAGTTTTCCCAAAGTGGCTTTCAAAGATCAGAGGCCCTCCCCTTCAGCCAGCATAGGGAAGAAAAGCACCCAAGTCTATTGTACATTCTGATCAGCCAGGTTCTACTGGGGTGACCTGCCTTCCTACTCTGTATTATTTTTCCTCCTTCTCCTCCTCCTCCTCCTCCTTGTCTCACCCATTTGTGTTATGTCAGGTTTCTGATGTTCCAGAAATGCTTTGGGTAGCCATGGTGTTTTCCTCCCAGCTTTCCCCCTAGGCCTGTATCTTCTACATATTTTGGAGAAACTTAGTTTGGCATTCCTTAGTGAGCCACGGTGGCTCATAGGTTAAGACACCGAGCTGCAGGACTTCCGGCGGCGCAGCGAGCGGGCGGGGCGCGCGAGCGCTCCGATGCCCGATTCTCTCCCGCTCTCTTTGGGGGCTTTCCTGGTCTCCAGGAAAGTCCCGACAGACCTCCCGTAGAGAGGTCTGGTGCAGGGGGCTTGTTTTTGGCCCCTCCCCCAACTGGCAAATGCGTCTGGTGTCCAATTTTTTGCCCCGGCACAGAAGCGGGTGAGTGGAGGGGAACTTGGCCGCCATGTTCCCCATAGCTGCAGCCTTCCGTCTTGTTTTTAATTAAAAATTATTTTGTGGATTACAAGCAATGAAGCAAGAAAAGTTAAAAAAATTGTATCTGCGCACATCTTTGAGAAAAAAAAGCAAAGACGCCCAGAAAACTGCAAGTATCTTCAAGTAAAATATTGCCCTGAAATTGACTGGCTCAAAAAGGGAAACCAAGCGGCCAGAAGGAAGAGAGGAAGCTAAGTATATCTACATTTCTTTTTTACTCGGGGCAAGAGGTGGTGTTCTCTTGGAACTGGATTAATGTGAGGACTGTAAGCTGTTTGTTCCCAAGTTTGTAAGTTGAAGGACTTAATAAATGGCGACTGTAGAAGGAAGTGAGACGGAGGGGATAATGGACGAAAGTGTGTTTGTGTCAGACATGACGGTGGAACAATTTCTAGAGGTTTTAAAGGAAGAAATACGAAAGGCTGTAGAAGAGGGAATACGAAAGGGGATGGAACAAGTACTTGGAAATTTAAAAGAGACCCCTACTGTAACAGAGAGAATTGAGAATCTGGAGCTACATACATGGAATTTGGAAGAGAGCACTGAGTTGCAACAAGGAAAGGAGAACACAGAGTTACCATGCCCTCAAATTCCAAGGCAAAGGAGGAGGGAAATAATAGTAGCCAAAAGGAGACAAAGGAAGAGAAAGAAGATAAGAGGAAAGGAAAAGGTGTTTAGAGCAGGGGTCGTTTCGTAGAAAAAGAGCTAGGGGAACTCATTAGCATAACTCATTAGCATATGCCACACCCCTTGACATCACCAGAAGTGTGTCATAAGGCCACACCCCTTGTCATCACCGGAAGTGTGTCATAAGGCCACACACCCCGCCCCCAACGGTCCCGGCCGCCACCGCCGGCCTTGCAGCTCCACTGCCGAGCCCCATGAGGGGCCCGGCGGTGGACCTGCAAGGCCGGCAGGAGTGCAAGGAAGCCCCGCGAAGGCCCTCCCTGGCCCCAGGCAGGCAGGGGT